GTTGTTCTGCATTTAGATGGAGTGGGTCGTTATCGGGCGAACCGAAGATCACTATATCAGTTACTTGCGAACAAGAATAGTTGTTCACAACCTAGATGGACATGAACACCCCATCCGAACGGTTGTAGTGTCAACTGTACAGTTTGTCTTAACTGATTAGTTGCACTAGTACATTTATGTATTGAACGAGATCCCAGAGAGGAGAAGTTCATTTTTTACTGATCGTTGTACATGAACTAGGCTTCGGTTAATTACTGTGTTCTCTTAACCCGTAAGATATTAAACAGACAAATATATATAATATATATTACTTTGATTCACATGGGTGAGGTTCAGTTCACTGAATCAATATTCCTACTGTTTTGGGTAATATTATTATATATAGGATGTTCTGTTAGGATATTTACGGTCTCCATGTGCGTTAGTTTGATGATGTCCCCGGAGTGAGCTCATGAAGAATTGTTATGCTAAACTCTGCAGGTGGATTAAGTTCCTGCATAATAAGAATGTGATTAACGAGCGCTAGCTTCGGTGAAATAATAATAAATTATTTAATTCTTGATTGTCAGTAATAGAATTAATTAATGGACATTATATCTTAAACGTGGGGAGGTAAATCGAGTAATTATTATTGAAGTCTCAAATGTAATTTGGGCTAAGAAAATGGAGTGCAATACTATAATGTTGGTGACCCATTAGTATTATTTAATTAATTAAAAAAATGGGCTTGGCCCATAGTTAGTCTAATTAATTAAGGAGCCCTATTCCTAATCTCTTAAGGGTCACTACTGTAGCTCTATATATACATCATTAAGCTTATGAGAAGAGAAGACATCTGTCATAATACAGTAGAAGATCTGTAGGTAAACCGAGACGAAATATATTTTATCCTATAGAACTAACCGGAGGTCCAATTGAGAAGTGCAGCATACCCAGACGACCGTCTCGAAGAGATCTTTCCATCTCTGTTGAGACTGCCGCCGTTCGCCACTGCATGCACCCTCACGCGCTGCCGGAAGCTCCCTGACTGCAAGATTCGTCTTCATCTGTTTGCATCCGTTTGATCCGGTTTTGATCTGATCTTGTTCGTGCAACCCAAGACGTGATTTGCGATCAACCATTCGTGGTCAACCAGACCTACATAAATTTTAAGCTGTAAGTTCTCTACGTCAAACCATTAGATTTGTTGCGCATAGCTTGCTATTGAATTCGTGACTTGTACATAACGAGATCCTCCTAGATCCCAACAGAAAGGAGTCTCTATAACTGATCTGAGCATCAAGTCTGATTTCTAGAGTTCGGATATCTGAAATCCTATTGAGCATAAACTTAGTAATTTGCTTATATTTAAAAACTTTTATAAAAACTGTTAACAACACTTACCTGGTAGTCGGTGAGGTGTGAGTGTGGTGTGGTCAGGTTTTCTGCAACTTTTTAACTCGTTGAAGTATTCAGAAACACAAAAACGTGCTCTGATACCAACTGTAACACCCCGCCTGCTCAGAGTAAATTTTTCGCAACTTTTATTTCGAAAATGCTTATAAATTTTTCGAAATCTTTTGCACGTAACTCTGGATGCTACTAAAATGTATATGCTCTGAAAATCCATTTTCTTTAAACTTGGTCTAACGACTGGTTTAGACATAAAGAAAAACATATTTTAAATCTTTAATCGAACAAGCATGTAAAACTGGACCCCGTTCATACTGTTGAACCGGGTAAAATCTTACAAATATGAAAAATACTAACATGCAAGTTCAAAACTTAAAAGCCTAGCGGAAACTTAAAAGCGTGGCATAATTATAAAGACTAAAATTTTATAAAAGTCCACAAATGGCAACTGGGCCAAGTCCTCGACCACAACCACCACTGTCGAGCTCACACCTCCCTGCCGACCCTGTCATCTAAAAAAGATAATAATGGGGCGTGAGCGCTACGTCCACTGTGCTCCGTAAAAACCCATACTAAAGTAAACAGCAATAATAATAACAATATCATGATCGCCGGTATATATAAACTGAAATCTCCCGGACACTCTGACCGGTAACTGAAACTGAATCTCCCGGACACTGTTGAACTGAATCTCCTGGACACTCTGGCCGGTAACCGTGTGCACACTCTGATGGAATATTAAGGCAACTGGGTCGCCACCAGAACTTAGGATGGAATATAAGGCAACTGGCTGCCACCCTAAGCGGATAAACTTATATACATACCTCAGACATGATATCAGATATTATAGTCAATGTAATACCCAGGCTTGGTCCCCACCTGTTCTGCTTTGAAAAATGTATGTGCTGGGTGATATAGCTGAATCTTCAAGCTACATAAAAATATAAACAAATATACTAAGTACTATGCTCGGAATACTCAATAAGATGCTAAGATGCTCGATTCTAACTGTTAACTTATCCTAATTAAAAGGAACGCTCTAAGGGTTGTAGACCTTTAGTTAACGGATCCGTAATCATAAGGTCCGTTCGAATATGTTTGATACACACTCTTTATTTCTTAACTTCCTCCTTGACGGCAAAATACTTTAATTCCATGTGTTTTGAACCCTTGGAATATTTGTCGTTCTTGGATAAGAAAGCTGCTGCGGAATTATCACAATACATTTTCAGCGGCTTGGTAATGGTGTCGAAAACTCCAAGTCCCGAAATAAAGTTCCGCAGCCATAATGCGTGAATTGTAGCCTCATAACAAGTTGCAAATTCAACCTCCATAGTAGTTGCAACTATGCACTGTTTGGCACTTTTCCATGATATTGCTCCTTCGGCAAGAACAAACACATAGCCAAACGTTGACTTGCGACTGCAAGGCAACCAACAAAATCTGAATCTGAATATCCAATCACCTCAAGGCGATCAGATTTCCTAAACGTGAGCATATGATCCTTCGTCCCTTGAAGGTATCTCAACACTTTCTTTGCAGCTTTCCAGTGATCCAATCAAGGATTACTTTGATATCGGCCAAGCATTCTAACAGCAAAGCTAATATTAGGCCTCGTGCAAGTTTGCAACTACATCAAACTGCCTACAACAGAAGCATATAGAATAGATTCCATACTCTTTCGTTCCACATCATTCTTAGGACATTTCATAAGACTGAGCTTATTCCTTTTCTGTAATGGGACAACACTTGGTGAACAATTGTTCATACTAAATCTCTCAAGAGTTTTCTCGATATATGCTTTCTGAGACAACCCCAACAATCCTTGTGATCTATCCCGGAATATTGAAATTCCAATCACATAGGATGCCTCTCCCATATCTTTCATTTCAAAATTCTTTGAAAGAAAATCTTTAGTCTCATGCAAAATTCCCAAATCATTAGCAGCAAGTAGGATATCGTCAACATTTTGAACAAAAAATATAAACTTACTCCCACTGATCTTCTGGTATAAATACACCGATCAACAGTGTTTTCTTGAAAACCAAAAGATGTGATGGTATAATTAAACCTAATATACCATTGCCTAGAAGCTTGTTTAAGTCAATATATTGACTTCTTAAGTTTACACACTTCGGGTTGATCCATATAAACTTCCTCATCTAAGTCCCATTAAGAAAGGTGTTTTTTCACATCCATTTGATGTAACTCTAAATCATACTGAGCTACTAAAGCCCTAATGATCCTTAAAGAACATGTACATAGAGTGGGTCTTGGTTGTATTGATGATTGATTATGATGATGTACTACACATTCTTGAGCTCATTGATGTTATGTTTCTGACTATTATCGAATTTCTTGTTCATTATGACTTTGTATACATTATGTTTAGAAGAATAAATAAATGTCTTCATGACAATTAAGTGGACATTATGATATTTATATATAATTATGAAACTTGATGTGTTAAACTGTTAGTGTAGTAGTATTTGGAATGAAGTATGCGAATCAAGAGTGTACAACCGCCATAACTCTCACTATATGATTTATCATGTCATAATTTATTATGATGTGTGGCATAATGAGATTTGTTTATGTGCAACTAAAGTTATACCATTATATTAAGGACTTTCGGACCAAGTGGGAGAATGTAAGAATATGTAGCCTGAAAGCATTGGGTTCACATTAATTATCCTATTAGGCTTGGCCTTTATTTAATGTCAAACAATCAAAACCATTAATTTTGATATTTGATGGACGTACCAAATCTAAAATCATCAATATATAAATTAGTCATCACTCCTCCAATTAGGGTATGCAGTATTATCCCATCACTTCTCTGCTACGTTAAGCAACCAGTCAGAAGGGAGAAACTAGTTTGGATCAAGAGAATCGATCGAGTCTCGTGAGATCATCAGAATCATAACTATGTCGTCTCCCGCATCAAGTAAGTGTTTTGTATATACCAAATTATTTATTTAAGATCCATGATGAAGTTTACTGCGTGAATTGATTAAAAAATTCCAATCGGACCCTCTTACAGTAGAAGAACAAATAATGACTATTTATACCGGAACGAGTGATTATCTTGATTCATTAGAAATTGGACGGGTAAGGAAATTTCTTGGTGAATTACGTATTTACTTCAGAAATAATAAACTCAAGTTCCCAGAAAATATTATTAACACTGATATATGAAAGAAACGCTAAAATGAACTGTACAGCACTTTAAAGATAATTACTCAAACCACCTTAGAGAATTTTATTCTTTGTTGTTTAAATAATTCAGGCACTGGCATTACATTAGATTCGAGGATGGATAAGAAATTTCCCCGGTTCTCCCTATGTAGAATGTCAATTGCATTAAAAAATACTAATTTAATAATTTTGAAAGCGAAATGTTTTTGTAATTGAACTGAACTTCTATCTTATTGCGAAAGGTATAAGATGAACGATTTTCTCAAATTTTTCTACAGAGAGAAGTATTAGATGCTACAAAATCAATCATCGAACAAGAAATAATAGGAAAACTCGACACCAAACAACTCTCCTCAACCCAAACGACACCCTTTCGAATTACGGACTTTGGATGTTCTACCGGACGCAACTCATTCCCCGCCATCCAAATCATCACACAAGCTATTGAGAACAAATTCCAAATGGAGGGATACACATCCAAATTCCAAATTGAGAAGCCCGTCCTCTGGCTCGACGACCTCCACCCACACTTTCTGAAAACCAAGAACAAAAAAAAAAAAATGAGCAATTTTCTCGTTCAATTGTCTGATTCAATCTACGTTTCTTACAACTAGTACGTATCCCGTGCGATGCAGGAGATAGATATATTAAATGAGTTATTTTCACAAGCTTAGTCCGTTTAAGTCTAAAAAGAAATAGAGTTATCATCTATTTTCCACCTCTTTTAATCATCGTTAAGTCTAAAAAACAATAGTGTGATAATCTATTTTCCACTTTTAATCAACGTTGTTTTTTTTAGCGAGAACATTAAATATGAGTCAGTTATGTTTACCTTGTAAAATAATTAATATATTATCTCAGTAACACATTTATACTAATACAAATTTGATTTTAGTATATATACTTATTCCTTGATATAAGGAAAAATAACAGTTTTGCTTATTCTTTCACCATATAATACTTAATTATTATTTTATTATAAATTTTGCTTTCATAATATCATTATTATTTGTAAAAGTTATAGAAGCTGTACGTCTTCTTTTTCTTTTTATTTTATGTAATGAAAAATGTTTAATGCAGATTAATATTATTTATATATGTAATCAATTTATAATATGTAAATAAATTTAAAATTATATAGTGCATAAATATTTTACAAGATATACACATGTGTTTTCATAATTTAATTTTGTATACCAATTAAACAACTTTGATTTAGAAAATGCCAAAAACTCATCACTTCTATAATCAAAATTTTTATAAATTGCATTATAAGGATTTATAGTTAATTTAGCATACTCTGCAATAAAAATATATTTTAGAAGAATTTCATTATAGAAGAAATCAAATAAAAAAATGATGAAAAAATAATCATGGTTGCCAATAATATACAAATAAATTCTAAAAAACAATTAATATATTTAAATTTTATTTTTTGACCATTACTAAAATTATTTAATGTATATGGTCATGATCTCTTAAATGGTAAATTATATTAATTTGAAGAATAATTTATTTTTTATATATAACAAAATAAAGCTTAAGAAATAATTATATTGGTAAAGATTAATTTACCAACTTGATTTCGCCTAATTAATTGAAAGAAAAAAATTTACTTAACCTGTTACGATTTTCTATAAATATTTTTGGATAAAAAATGAATATTTGTGAAAAAAATTAATATTATTGTTAGAACATAAAAGATGTTGTAACATTTATCTTGATTAAAATATTATTAACATGAATCACGGAAAATCAATCTTGTAATTTATTATAATGGATATCAATGAAATTATTGCAGATATTAATAAAATTATTTAATGAAATAATATTTTTTACCATATCTGATTTTATCTTATTTCAAAACATGTATATAGAAGCAATTAATTCATATATTTAAAAAGTTTCCAAAATAAGGTATGCAATAAATGTTCCCAAAATTTTTTACTGCTATTTTTAGTAAATGATTATTCTTATTATATATATATGTAGATTTTTTTCTTCTCCAAGCTAGGCACTTTTTTTCTAATAAAAGGCCTTTTTTCTCTCTCTGTCGCTGCTCCTCTTCAGCAATCTCCGCCACCGACCGATTTCTACCATCTCCATCGTCGCTCATCTTCTTATTCGTACAAATAATCGAATACAAAATTGTGACTCTCTAAGAAACAAATTGGAAAATAAAGAAAATTAAATCACAATTAGACAAAAGGCAACTTCAATCTGTGTAGGTGATGAAAAATAATATTAGGGGTGGAAAGAATAAAAAAATAGAAGAAAGCAGAAGAAGGTTTAGGAATTGGAAATTTTTGAACGGTGTGTAGAGAAGGGAAAGAATGGCAGGAGTAATTTTGGCAACAAGTAAGGTTAATATGGTCAACAATTTTTACTTTAAGGGACACATGTGTAATTTTGTATATTTTTTAATGTGCAGATCAATGTTATCTCACCCCATATGGCAAGATCAATTAATCCCATTTTCTCATGATTTTTACACTATTCATCGCGATCCCTATCCTATCGGACGGACCGGAATTTTGGTAAACAAACGTGAGATTAGAGGTGGATTGGAGGCTTAATCCTGTCCTCTATGCTAACAAACGAGTCCTAGGTAGACTGATTTAATTAATTTATTTATGGTAGGTAGATCATATATGTTTGTTGCATATTATATTTTGATTCTCTTCTCCAACTATTTGCACTTAAGAGTATGTAGTACTCAATACATAATAAAAATAGTTCCCCATCAGTTCTATATGCCATAGAAAAATATTACTCACCTTTTATTTTTTCCTATACAAAGGTACATGAAATCAATCTACATAATGAAAAATATGCAAAACATTATAATATAATAAACAAAATAATTAGTATCCAAACCAGTAAAAGGATTTAAAACACAACCATATTTTAGAAAATACTTGAAATAAGAATTCAATCACCACTTGAGTGATTTAGGAGCACTCCTAACACCCATGGACTATGTAGGGTTGTTCCTAAACAAACACTTCACAATCTTTACAATCTTAATGGAGCATGAAACCATTACAAGCATATGATACCAAATGAATCAAAACTCGGTTCAAAATAGTATACATTTATATATTAATTAATTAGAATAAAGCACAAAAAAGGGAAGATTTTTTAAATAATCACAATTTATAAAAAGGTTTGATTATTTTTAAATACTAACTATTTTCTCTCCAAGAAAAATTATTTACTATTTCAGAAAATTAATTTAACAACTTATGGTATATTTCAAATGATCACATATGGTAATTGCAGCTTATTATTTAAGGAAGTAATTAAGCCATATGTTAAGATACCTTAATTACTCAAATCATGTGAATTAATTAATTAATACATCTATCATTATATTAAAAGATTAACCATTTAACACTTTTAGCAAGTTTTTCCCGCCAAATACATTTAATGTCTCCTAAAAATAGAGCAGCATTAAATGTTGCCCTTAAATCATGGCAGTTGTTAATTTAGTTTGGAGAAAATCGTGGCAACTAAAACAAACAACATTAATTACGGCTGATTTAATATTTAAATGGTAAACAAATATTACTTTTTTATAACTGATTTAAATTTACGTCTGTTTAAAAGTAAAAAACTATTTTTGTAATTTCAGCAAATTTGTACTCTTTAAGGTATGGCTGATTTAAAATTAAGAATTTACTTTTGTATTTTCACAAAAAATCGTATAAAGAAGTATGACTGGAATAATAATGAAAAATTAATTTGTTAAACCATATTTTGCACTCATAGACACGAATTCTCATCAAATTCAAGATTTAAAATTGTGAAGAATGTATATAGATGTGGACTGGTTGAAGATATATGATTCCTTAAATTAAGGAATTTTTTCCGGTAAAAAAAAAATATAAACTTTAAATATATATTTTATTAGTAGTGTATACTAAAGAATATTGTTACATTTAAAATTCCTATGAAGAAGAATTCTATTAATTTTCAAATTCAACATTTCATAAAAATAATATAATACATTTTTACATTCTATGAAACAATATTTAAAACCCACCGTTCAACATGCATAAAATGTAAAATTACCTAACATGAATCATTTTAACTTTCTAAAATCAGTACACAATTTGCTCGGTATGTACTAATAGTCTAATAGTTAAGAGTTAATATTTGCTATGACATCTATTGGTTGGAAAGAATTTCCATTTTGTATGGAATTCGAAATGAAAAAACATATTCTGAAAATCAAATCTGGTTTAGAGATCGATTTCTTAATGGCCTTAAATTATGCAAATATATTGTTTCAGTTTTTAGGATTCTTTTTTATGATCTCAGTCTTTGCATTATATGAAATCTATACTTATATAAAAAGTCATCCTATTTACTAGAAATAGAAGGCAGAAAAGTCAAAGGTAATCAATGCTTGCTGGAAATAGAATGATATTAATTACAGATTTGTTTTGATATTTATAAACTTGACATTAAATATTTGTTATGGGATAAAAATCAGAACCGATTTTTTTACCTTTGCTGGAAAAGTCAAAGGTAAGTATAGATTTGTTTTATCCCATAGCATCGGTTTAGTTAAGAAAATCCCATCAAATCAGTTTTATATGTCAAGCCTATGAATAAAGATTTAATCGGTCAAAATTAAATCCTTATTTTACGTCACCCATAAATAAAGTAGATGTCAAGCCTAAATTGAAGGATTTAGTTGTCTATATAGTCATTGATTTACTTAAATACATATAATGTTTAATGTTTGTGTAGATTGAAAATTCCTTCTTATCTTTTTATAAAAAAAATTTATTATTATTGTATGGAAAATCAAACTCATAATGTTGTGTACAAGGTGGTTTTTAATAATATATGATTGTTTGTTTGTCGAATACTATCTTACTAGTGTGTAGCCCGTGCGATGCACGGGTAAATAATATTAAATAATAATTATAATTTAACGATGACAGTAAATAATATTAACTAATAATTATAAATTAAATATGAGGGTAAACAATATTAACTAATAATTGTAATTAAGATGTGGACATATTAACTAATAATTGTAATTAAGATGTGGAGTTAATATGTCATATAATTTATCGTATATCAGTTGTAAACAATATAAATTTATCTTGTATAAAATAACATAAAAAATGTATGTTAAAATATTAAAAACACCTAAAATATTATATAACGTATGTAAAGTATCTAAAATTTTATATATCATTATTGAAGATGTGAAGTGACCTAAAATCTTTCTAAACTATTTTATAAATAAAACATGTCTGAAATTATTTAAAAAAATCTTACCGAAAATATGTTATTCAATTTACAGAACATGATGATAAGTATGAGTTTGAATTTTAGAATCCACTTGAGTATTATTTTTTAGATCCGTGTACTATACACATTATGTTAATTTCCTGTGAACTTCATATTGATTTATTGATTTTATTTCATTTCTGTACAAAGTTGACCGTCTGATTTTGTTTTACCATATTTTCATGGAGATTTAACAAAGTCAATTGCATTTATAAAATGATTTGGATATCAACATACAATTTATAATGGAGTTTTCAAAATTGTGTACTATTAACAAATGATATATTATCATTAAATATATTTTTTTTTAAATGCACAATTATTGAGACTGATAATTTGATAATTATTTTACCTTTTGAAACTGAGTATAGAAAAAACAATAGATTGGTAAACAAATAAGTGATAAACATTACCAAGTTTATTATCACACGTTCCAAATAAAAAAATTGTGATGATTAGTGGAAAATGATATTTAACGAATAGCATTCAATATTTTTTTTGAAAGGCATAAATATAAAGACCGATATTTTAAAATTTTTATTACCTTTTCAATTGAGATTTTATAAATATAGAGACTGAGATATTAATGTTCTTCGTTGTTTATATGAGAAAATAAAATAAAAATGAAAAATGCACACTTAATAGATCTTAGCTAGAATTTTTAAATAATAAAATGAATTAAAGCAAAAAATTTAATGCAACATTAATTGTTGTATGAATTTTCAAAGATAAAAATAAAAAATAATAAAACTTACTATTTATAGGTTGCATTAAATTTTTCTCCTATTTTTTTGCTTCTATTTTTGTTAAATGGTAATTCTTATTATATATGTATAGATTGTATAATTTTCCTGCGTATTATTAAACTTTTATTGAATATTGCATCTTATAATATAGTATTCTTCAAATAAATATATCCCGTGCCTCGCACGGGTCACGTACTATATATATCCCGTACATTTTTCTGTATTCATGTATATAATTATTAGTCTGGATAAATAGCCTTAAAATTGTGCACCCCGTGCATCGCACGGGCTCTGTACTAGTAGTATATAGTGGACGAATTTATTTTTGGTATTCAGGGTTATTTCTATAGGAAATACATTAATCAATATATGTTATACAGTGAGCAAATTTATTTAGGTTATTTGATAACTGTTTTTTTTTTTTTCTTTTTNATTTTTTTTGTAGAAAAAGCTCTGGTCATTTTTTTTTTTGTATAACTAGTGGGTCTCGATTTAATTCATTTTTTGTTACGACATTTCAAATAATTTTTGTGTGAAATGCACTGTTCATTTTTTTTGGCATGATAAAGAGTTTCGATTTTTACTTAGCTACTTTAATTTTTTATTCAACTCCTTAAATTTTTTTATCTGGATATTTTATACAAAAAAATATCATTTTAATTAATTAAAAAATATAATTTTCATATTTATACTTATAATTCACATAGGTTTTTAAATATATGATAAAACTTTACTAAAATAATTATTTTATGGAATCATGTTATAGTCAAATCGAATTTATGTAGTTCATTATAAATTATGTGCAACAGAAGGGATGTGTACTAATTTAAATAGAAATTTTTATGTAATTTTGCACAAATTAATTTTTTTATAATATTTTCAATAAATTATATAGGTACATTATCTTACATACTGATTCCATGTTTCTAATTTATAAATATTATTTAATGATAATTTTTAATTTATTAATATTAATTAATATCTCTTACCCGTGCATCGCACGGGAATCGTACTAGTATAAATAAAAAGGTATAATTATTTTTTAAATAGTAACTATTTTCCAAAACAAAATTATTTACTATTTCGGGAAATGAATTTGACAATTTATGGTATATTTCAAATGATCACTTATGAAAATTGTGGCTCATTATTTAAGGAAGTAATTTATCTATATTTTAAGAAACCTTAATTACTCAGATCATGTGAATTACTTAATATATGGTATATAGTGGACGAATTTATTTTTGTTATTGATGGTTGTTTCTCTAAGAAATAAATTAATCAATATATGTTATAAAGTGAGCAAATTTATTTAGGTTTTTTATAACTGTTTTTTTTTTTGTATGAAATTTGTTGAATAATTAATCAAATACGGTGTACATTTTTCTGTAATGCACATGCTAATATATTGGGTTTTAGGCGTGGATTTCAATTTTTATTTCAATTTTTCATATAAAATTAACATAATAAAATTACCGTAATTCCGACAAAATAATATGAACTGATATTTTGATATAATGTGCATGTATTTATATTTTTTTTATAGAAAAAGCTCTGGTCAATTTTTTTTTTTTTTTTGTATAATTAGTGGGTCTCGATTTAATTCATTTTTTTGTTACGACATTTTAAATAATTTTTGTGTAAAATGCACTGTTCATTTTTTTAGCATGATAAAGAGTGTCGATTTGTTTGGCATAAAAAATCTTATGATCGATTGGTTTTACTCAACTACTTAAATTTTTTGATTTGGATATTTTTTACAAAATAAATTCATTTTAATTAATTAATCAATATAAGTTTTATATTTATACTTATTATTCACATAGGTTTTTAGATATATGATAAAATTTTACCAAAATAATTATTTTATGGAATCACGTTAAAGTCAAATCGAATTTCTGAATAAAATTTTTTAAATGACACATATTTTGAAATGACATAATTTAATTTATTATAAATTATGTGCAACGCACAGGATGTGCTAATTTTAAATAGACATTTTTATGTAAATTTGCACAATTTAAATTTTATATGACATTTCAATAAATTATATAGGTACATTGTATTACATATTGATTCCATGTTTCTAATTTATAAATATTATTTTGGTAACGGAAGACACTCCGACCTGCTAGAAATCGGCTCGCCTTCTTCCTCGTCGCAGGTAGAACGCCGCGTACCTGCAAAGAACTCTCACACCGGAGGGGTTTTCCAGTGAAGAGCTTCCGATGCTTAAGTCACTATTTGTTCTACTCAATTCTCAAGAGTAAAAATGAATAAATCGTGTGTAACAAGAATGACTCACCCACATATATATAGGGGTGAGCTGTTTGCGCAAAGCTGTCTGCCTTAGGAACTGCCCGGATTTGATTAGCTGTCTGCGCAAAGCTGCCCGGATCACACACACTATGTGTGTGTCAGAGGTGGTTATCGCCACTATCACTGCGCACCAATATATCCTCGTCACGTGTACTCTGCACATGAGATAATTATTCCCTTGAATATTCCTCAGAAATTCCCTAGGAGACCCACGCGCTCCCTCACGTCTAGATCACGCTCTCGATTGCTCTTCACTCGCGAGGTGGTCGATCTAATGATTTCTCATTCAATAGGTCAATCTTCGACCAGATCTGCCACAATATTTGACCACTACCTTTCAGCCTGCTATTGCTCGACCATCATGGCATTTCCAACATTAGGCTCGTATGGCCAGCGTAGTGAACCGGTATATTCCTTTAGGTATATAATATCCCATATCATCTAGTCCCCCCCACACTGGTCGAGTCTAAATGACTCGATCTAAGAGTGAGTTTGTGTTTGCCTCCTCAGTTTAATGGCACCTAGACCATCTGGCTAGTTTTGTCTCTGTTCTTCGACCACTTGGTTGGTTTCCCCTTTAATTTCCCTCCGTCCTTTTTCCCTTTATCATTAATGTAGCTTTATTCTGCCACGCATCCTGTTTGTCCAGTATATCAGTCATCACGTCTCCTCGCGATCTGCATTACTTTGTTATCCGCGCTATTTAAATTCTCCCAGCCGTTGGATTTCAATTTAATCCAACGGCAATTCCCATTAACTCTTCATTCCATCTTTTCTTTTCACCTATAAATATCCACACTTACGATTTTTTTGGCTTTTTTCACCTCTGCAAATCTCGAACTTACTTGTTCCCTAATTTCTCCCTCTACAAATTAAGCTTTCCTTCTCTCTGCGTTTCCAGTTTCATTGCCTCCAAGTTTTCCGGCGACCTTCTCTCCACTGCGATAGTGAGTAAGTTCTCTGTACTTTGAATTTATGCTTGTCTGTTTTGCCTACTTTCAATTTTTCATTTGATGCTCCCTTTTCGAAATCTCGTCTATACTCCGACTGTGGAATTTTTCCCCCTTTTTCTTCTTCGTTTTCCTTAAAACCCTAAAATTTGTCCTTTTTATTTCCTTCTTCCTTGCTTTTCATATTCTGCTACCTCCAGCGAGAATGACCGTCACTCCGGCAAGGACATGACCACCCTGTCATCGTCCCCAATTCGCCAACCTATTCCCCATTCTCCTTCAAATTCCCTCGAAGAGGTTTACCAGGTTGTTCCCTTTAACGTGCTTCGCCCTTCTGATTATTCCACACTTTCTTCTTCACCTCATCCCCATCGTCTGATTGATGAATCAGACGAGGACGTTCTCCACCATATCCCCCTTATCCGTCGCCGCCGACCTGTCTTTGGTGCCTCCGATGCTACTGAAGCAGATCTCGATGCTGCCGAGGCAGCTTGCGATAAAAGTGAGGACCACGTCCTTCTTTACCAATGTTCTATTCCTTCCGAACTCCCTTCCTCGAGCAAATCTAAAACAACCACAAATTCTAAGTCCAAAACTAAACTCTCAACCGCCGCCACTTCTTCCAAATCAACTCCCAAGAAGAAGTTGACTAAGGCTTCTTCCTCTAAGAGGGCCCCTTCCTTTCCCCTAGTCGTTGGGTGGTTAGAGGTCGACGATGTCGGCCATCCCTCTGACTGGGGTTTCACCTCTCGCCGCTCCAATGATACCTATGACCATCCTCCCAAAAATAACTACACTTTCTTTGAGATCCAATTCAAACTCGGAATCCGCTTTCCTCTATGCCAAGACCTGCTCGATATTTGCGATTGGTTCGGCCTTCCCCTGAACCAACTTCCCCCAAATTCCATCCGATTTATTACTACCTTCATTATCCTCTCTCATGTCCGCCTAGGTCGATTCGACCTAGGATTTTTTCATTACTACTACATGCCCTCGAAAAAAACTCAAAGGCTTTACCTAAAAAGTCGCAACGGTGCCCACTTCATCTCGGACACTCCTTCCAATTGCCCTAAATGGAAGCGAAAGTTCGTGTATTTGAGCCCTCTTTCGGCTGGGCACCTACTCCCTGGCTCAAGAAACTCCCCCTTGAGCTCGAAAATCCTGAGCACGAGCCTCTTTTCGAGTAGCGTATCGCTGTTTGGAATTATAAACCGATCTCCTCCAAAATCCTCCTCGAAAATGATAACCTTCTTCATTTTTTTGGCCTTCTCACCCACAAATCTCTTTCTCCTCCCACCCAAGAACTCTTCGATTCTATTCAGATTAAGGACGATCCAGGTAATGCTTGTATAATGTGCTCGAATATTGTTGTGTTCACTTTGGACTCAAACAGTTTATTGTGGTATTAACTTGTTTTTGTAATTCTTTTGCAGAGATGCCTACAGTTCCGCTGCCCAAGAGAAAACTCCCTCTCAATGAGAAGCCTACTCAGGGATCGAGCTCGAGGCCTTCTGACTCAACCACCTCACAACCCGACCAGTCCATTTCCTCTATGGAGGCCAATATTCAAAAGACGTCTATCGCAGGATCAGCCCCAGACCCGATTCTGTAGATGCAATCTTCTCCTTCCTTGACCACCCGGTCCACCTAAGAGCAACTGTCTTCGCCTCGTCCGGAAGACCAGTAACCAACATCACCTCCTGTTGGCACGACCATACCCGTGGTCGAAGAACTGCAACCTCTGTCCACCCCTCTCAACCCCGTCACACCCTCGACTGAAAAATCTGTCTCCTCAAGCCCGCTCATTGTTGCAGAGGCCTCACTCAAGCATCCCCTCACCGAAGAAAGTGAGGGGCATAATGAACGCCTGTGGCGCGAGGAGACGGTTGACGTCACGCGTCCATCTATCCTCTCGCTGACCAAGGTTAGCGGCACAGAAGTATCATCCTTTCTTAAGGATGTTCTTCCTTCCCAAGATCTCCGTGATGACGGTGGCAGCCTTCATGACCGAGGTGATCGTATCGCCAAGTGGCTAGCACATGTAACTTTCGAACCTTTGGTATTATCTTCCTCGATTTATTTCTTTGGTCGCTGATGTATCCCTACTTTCCTTTATTTGTGAACTCAGAGAATGGTCGAACTAGCTCCTCTGATCGACCAGGCCCTGTCTAGTGCCAGTCGATCCATCCCATCGATCGAGCAGGGGTCATTCCTTCTCCGAGAAAAGCTGGACGATCTCACCTATCAGTATCACGAGCTCCGTGAGAAGCTGAAGGATGAGAGGATGAAGATGAAGACTCTCGAGGTCGAGAAGGAGACCCTCGAGGGAGTGATGAAAGCTTTTGAGGACATGCTTGAGGCTGAGCGAGTGGAGAAGAATGCTCTTGAGGCTGCGCTCGAGGTGGAATGGGCAGCTCGGGAGCGCGATAAAACTGCTTTCGAGCAGCAGAGAAAGCGTCTGGTCGACCAAGCTGCTCTTCGAGCTCGCTAGATGGTCTGGCATACCACTTCCGGGCAGCGCTTCCTCCACGAGTACCGCGATCAAGTGGTGACTGCCTTCAAGCAGTCGCCACAATATCTGAAGGAGGTGCAGGAGTATGGCGCTCATTGTTTCCAATCCATCCTGCAGAAAGCAAGTGAGCAGATAGCAGAGGACGACTTCGAGGAGTTCAACATGGAGGCTATCTAGGACGCTCTGCACAAGGCTCCTGCTGGATTCCAAAGTGACATCGATTTACGGCTTGACCACAAGTGGTGGTCAGGCCTCCTCGAGCGTACCGTGAATCATGACGATACTCTGAAGAAGAATTTCACGCTGCTTGATGGGGTAACTCCTCCGACTTCCATGAGGCGGGCCATGCCGAGTCTATCCGCCAGCGACCTTTATCTGACATGGCCGAGTCCACCTCTGGCTCAAGTCAACAAGTTCAGCAGCAGCCCGATCTGACCCCCGAGAAAACTCTTCTTGATCTTAATGCCAACACCGAACAAGCCTCCTCAAATCCAAATATGCCCGCTCGTTGAGCATTTTGTAATCTTATTTCTGTTCAAAAGAATTGTACGTTATTTATTGAATGAATTCTATTTTCTGCCCATGTTTGTTGGTCTTCTTTTTATCTTTCTGCTTGTTTGCCTGTTAATATGTTACCAATTATACTGTCTTCATTGTTTATGAACTTATTCTGTCGCCACACATTGATCCCACTTTTATCAACGACTTGGTTCGCGCCCTTAATCGTAATGAATTTTAGACCATTAGACACATGCCCACCCTCAAAGAGGTGGTCGATACATGCGACCATCCAGCCTCTCGGTCTTAATCATGATAGATTTTACTCCCTTGAACACATGCCCACCTTCGGAGAGGTAGTCGATACATGTGACCATCTAGTCTCTCGACCTTAGTCATAATGGATTTTACTCCCTTGAGCACATTCCCACCCGCAAAGAGGTGGTCGATACATGCGACCATCCAGCCTCTCGGCCTTAATCATGATGGATTTTACTCCTTTGAACACATGTTCACCTTTAAAGAGGTAGTCGATACATGCGAACATCCAGCCGCTCGGCCTTAATCATGATGAATTTTACTCCATTGAACACATGCCCACCTTCAAAGAGGTGGTCGATACATGCGACTATCCATCATGATGGATTTTACTCCCTTGAACACATGCCCACCTTCAAAGAGGTGGTCGATACTTGCGACCATCCAGCCTTTCGGCCTTAATCATGATGGATTTTACTCCATTGAACACATGCCCACTTTCAAAGAGGTGGTCGATACATGCGACCATCCAGCCTTTCGGCCTTAATCATGATGAATTTTGCTCCATGCAACCTGCCAGTGAGGTTACTCCAAATATTCCAAGTAAAATAAATCGATACGCAAACAAATTATGGGGGCTTGCAAATGAAGTTCCATTAATCAAAAGTGAGGAAGTCGATTACATCATTTTTCGAAAATTTTCTAGAATAGAAAAAATTTTAGCATAATATCTCTTAAAGTTAGTCACATTACATGAAATGGGGAGTGACCTTCCTTCAGCATCTTTTAGCGAGTATGCCCCGCCGGCATGGACTTTTTCAACCAGGTATGGCCCTTCCCAGTTCGGTTCCAGCTTCCCGACATGTTTCAGCAGTCAACTCTTTTTCAAACCAAGTCACCCACTTGAAATCTTTTGACTTTCACTTTCTTGTCATCTGCTGCTCGAATCCTCTGTTTGTATGCTTCGACCCTCATCGCAGCTCGTTCCCGAAGTTCTTCAATTGTGCCAAAGGATGCCATCATTTGGTTTTCATTTTTCTCTTGATCATACGTGCTCGATCTCTAGGACTGCAACTCGACCTCGACTGGCAGTAGTGCCTCCATGCCATGAACCAAATTGAATGGTGTTTCCCTTGTTGTCGACCTAGGCATTGTTCGATATGCCGAAAGTACGAAAGTAAGCTCATCGACCCATGCCCCCGACGCCTTCTCCAGCCTCGTTTTGAGGCTGTTCAATATGATCCTGTTGGTCACCTCGACTTGCCCGTTGGCTTGCAAGATGAGCTACCGATGCAAAATGTTGCTCGATCTTCATGTCCTCACACCATGCTCGAATCTGCTTTCCATTGAATTGTGTTCCATTGTCGGACACCAACACCTTTGGGACACCAAACCTGCAACAAGTATTGTTGTATAAACATTTTATGACTTTCTCCTCAGTGATCTTGGCCAATGGTTTGGCCTCCACCCATTTTGTAAAATAGTCCACCGCCACGATCAAAAATATCTTTTGCCCAGTTCCTTGTAGCATTGGCCCCACCAGATCGACACCCTATTGCGCAAATGGGATAGGAGCACTCATCGTCGTCATCGCCTTGGCTGGTTGATAGGTAAGTGGACCATGTTTTTGGCATTGCAAACATTTCCTCACCATTACTTTTGCGTTCTCCTTCATTGCCGGCCAGAAATATCCTGCCCGCAAAATTTTAGCCACCAAGGAACCCGCCTTGCTATGATCGCTACATCACTCTTCATGAGTCTCCTTCAACACATATCGACCTACCTCCCGTGTAACATCGCAAGTGGGGTCCCGCATATGACCGTTTGTATTACATCCCACCATGTTCGAAAAATCTCTTCATCACTTTCACCACTCCTTCTCGCAACTCCTTTATTATTGAGGCTCTCCAATCATCGACCTCATCTATCTCTATCACCTCCCCTTCGATCACACTTTTTTCCATATGCAGTAAAGTTACATTTCTGCTCTTATAATCGACCAGATTCTGTGCTATTTTAGATAACAGATCTGCCCGACCATTCTCCCCCCAAGGTATCTGGACTAGCTCGAATGAGCTAAACTCTCCTTGCAACTTCTTCATCTCCTCCACATACCTCTGCATCCTCTCCTCCTTTATCTCAAAATCCTCTTGAAACTGACTGACCACCAGTTAAGAATCAGAATGTACCTGAATCTTTCGGGCTCCTCCCGCCATGACCAACTGCATCCCTTTAAAGACTGCTTCATACTCCGCCTCATTGTTCGATACTCGATATCCGACTGTGACTGCAAACTCCAAGCTATCTCCTTTGGGCGAAATCAATACTATGCCCAAACCACCCCCGGCCTTTGATACCAAGCCATCCACGAACATCTGCCAAACTCCTTCCAACTCCTCCTCAGCCTTGGTACCCTCCTGGATTAAATCGGCCAGCGCTTGCACTTTGATCGCTCTTCTAGGCTCATATACGTGTAATCACTTAGCTCGATCGCCCATTTCACCAGGCGACCTGATACAGAGGGTCGACCTAACGTTTCTCCCAGTGGCATATTTGTCCGCACCTTCACCTTGTGGCTAAAAAAATAAGGCCGCAGCTTCCTCACCGTAACGATCACCGCCAAGGCACACTTCTCGATCTTCGAGTACCTCCTCTCCGCACCTTGCATCACCATACTTACATAATAAATTTGAAATTGCACTACTTCTTCTTCTCGCAATAGTACTGAACTCACCGCCGTTTCCCCGATAGATATGTATAACACCAAGTCGTCTCTATGTACTGGCTTGGCCAACAAGGGTAAGTTGGCTAACACCTTCTGCAGCTCCTCCAATGACATCTGTGCCTCCTCTGTCCATTAGAATTTTGAGCTCTTTCTCAATGTTTGGAACAGTAGGGCCACTCTTCTCCGCCGCCTTCGAAATAAAACGACTCAATCCTGCAATTCGACCAGTCGAGATTTGCACCTCCTTCACCTTTGCTCGCACCTTTTCTGGGTTTACTTCAATCCCTATCTTTGTCACTATGTATCCCAGAAATTTCCCCGACTTCACCCCAAAGGAACACTTAGAAGGATTCAGCTTCATATCATACCTCCGCAATGTCAAGAATGTTTCCCTCAGATCACCCACATGATCGGCCTCGTCCTTGCTTTTCACTAACATATCATCGACATAAACCTCCATATTTCGCCTCAGCTGCTCCTTGAAAATCTTATCGACCAGCCTTTGATACGTTGTTCCCGCATTTTTAAAACCAAACGGCATCACCACATAGCAATAGGTTCCACTGCTCGTCACAAAACTCACACTCTTCCTGTCCTCCCGAGCCAAAGGGGTCTGATGATATTCTTGGGACGCATTCATCAGACTGAGCAGCTCACATCCTGTAGTAGAATCGACCAGCCGGTCGATCCTTGGCAATGGGTATAAATCCTTCGGGCACGCCTTGTTTAAGTCACGAAAATCGATGTACATCCTCCATTTGCCCTCCGACTTTGACACCATCACTGTGTTGGAACCATTCGGGGAACTGGATC